AAAAAAAAGAATTAAAATGCAATACAGGAATTGAACATAGGAAGTTGAAAATATTAAAATAACTGCGAAATTTAATTGTAAAATCATAAAATATTTTAGTACCATGAAAAGTTAAAAATTCAATATAAAAATTTAAATCAAGAGAGGACCATGTTAAATCTATAATTGAATAGTAGGTATTGAAAATAATGCGAGAATTTTTTTTTAATATTGCAAAAAGTAGTAATTCGGAAGTGTATTTCCCCATAGTAATACTGATTTATCAGTTTTCTTTTCATCCACTTTCCTTTCTGTCTTCACAGAGCGCTTCATTGGTCAATTTTATAACAAGAAAAAGTAAGTCATTGGGGAAAAAAATTTAATTCATGGTACTTTGTTCTGGCATCACTCTCTCTCTCTCTCTCGCTCTTTCTTCTTCCTTTCTTTTTTTGTTATCTTCGATTTAATTTGAAGAGTGAAGAAAATTTATTCGAATGTTTTGTAGATTTTCTAATGTTCATATTTTTAATAACAGATAAGCATCATACGCTTAAACGATATCAAAATAATGTAGAACATGACAGTTAGCATGATATGTTCACAGCTTATGAAAAATATTTTGCGTATATGTTGGACGTAGGCGGAGAAGCTTAAATTGTGAAACTCTCGGAGTATTTTTAGTACTTATTACTAATGTTAGAAACAAGTGAAAACCTAAAGAAAACAGTCTGAATTATGTTTTTGAAAATGTCTGTTTACGTGAAATTGAATTCTCGAAAACACATTTTCTGGTGATGCTTTGTTTATTATTTAACAAAAGGACATTGATTTTACGGTATTTTTTTTAGCTGAGAAAGTAAATAGGAAAAAATTTAGATTGAAAATGGTTTAGAATGATATATGTTTGAATGGTTGTTTGCTTTCAAAATTTTTTACAAAACGAGCATTCCAATATTTATTCCGGTTATAGTACTATTTATTACTGTAATATATACCAGGAAGCACTCATGTTTGTCGCATATTTCATGAAGGTAACCTTATCGATGTTATCATAAAAGTCCATACATCGCTTAAAATTTCATTAGAAGTTTTTGTGGAAGACTGTATGCATCATAATAACTGCTTTTTAGATATTTTGATGAATCTGATGTCCATCTACTATCTTAAAAAATTACAATGATTGAATAGGTAATTTGGATGATAAAATGTCACTAAGATTATTTGTTATGTATCATAACACTATAAATATTAATATATCACTTAACTCTGTGTAATTGCTAAAGAATATCTAATAAAATTTAGTTATATTTCATCATTTTTAAATTTTTTTTTTCTTTTTGATTACGCAGAGAAACAGTATCAAAAGGTGCGGATTGTTTTGATGGAAAATGTGGTTGATCTTTTCGCGTAATATTTCTGATACTGTGAAAATGTGAAGTGCTAACATTGTACAACAAATGAGCAGTTCTGTTGAATTCTTTTCTGTTCAATAACACGGATCTTTAAATTATACCATTTCCTCTTCATTTTAAGCTTTTTTTCTCTCTCTCTCTCTCTCTCTCTTTCAGGTATTTGATTTTATTTTATAATTTAGTATTTCAAATTGTATTGTGTCCATGTATACATATGTAAATGTTTCCTACATATTTATGTATATTTGAATATATTTTTGTGTGAGTGTATACTGATGTTTACTCATTTGAAGCATTGTAAATATTACACAAGATTCTATATATGTTATATTAACGATTCTATTCTATATATGTTACATAATATTACATTAACAATTCTATACAGAAACAAGAAAAAATCATTTTCAACCGCTGCTACATGATATTTTTCTACTTTCATCGAAATAATTTCTTCGTGATTGGTTCATTAGCATAAGTCACGCATTTTAAAATGTTGAAAATTTTCCCATGGAATGCAATCAAAAAAGATTTTTATTGATTGAAAAATAAGTCAGCTTAAATGGATTAATGTTTCTTATTGATATTGATAGCTTTTAAAAGAAGTAAAGAAAAAAAAAATGAATGAGGAAAGAAAAAAAAGAGAATAGGAAAATAATGATTTTGATCATTGATGTCTTCTTCCATCACTCACATTGAACATATCACTTTACAAAATCTTTTGTCAACAAGTAAGTTTTGCCATTCTATGTTGTTTAAAAGTTTTCGGAGTCATTCACGATTTATCAGTTATACTTAGCGTATGTAATGGTGCTAGTCATAATATTCTTCTGTATAAAGGTCAAAGTTTGTCTGAATATCGTTGTTATTTTCTGAGATAACAAAATTCTTAATCATTTTTTTTTTTTTGATTCTCAGGGAGTATGTATTGATTGAAGATGAAAGATTGATTATAATTGAAGGTAGTAATGAAATTGGTCAAAAAATGATTTTTGCAAGAAATAATTGTTGACCGATTGATATGCTTGTATACTTTATCATTATGATTCACTAGACAAAAATTTCTGTTGTAGAATTTAATTGCATATTGTAAACTAGATGACAAAAGAAAGAATTATACGTTGTGTAAAAGGCAATCTTAAAAAACACTGTAAATTTTTTTGCAAAAAAAAAAAGATTATCATATTCTCAAAACATGCTAACAGCTCTACTTATCAGTTTTCACTATTGAAGTGAGCAAAAATTTTGCAGTAATTTTTTCTATAATTACATTTGCATTTCGATGATTTCTTGGGAGATACATTATTCAAATGTAATTTTCAATATGATAGAGCATATATGTTTTGTCGTTCTATTACTGATAGTAATTAGTAATTGAATTGTTAATTTCATCAAAAGGAAAAAAAAAAATTCTTCCCCTGATTCAGTCAATTTTTTTTTTTTTGCCTTTGCTTTTATTTTTTTTTTTTTTGTTATTTCATTTTAGAACAATGAAGTATATATGTGAAGAAAAGTTACAACTTTTTATGGAAGAAGTGTTCTACTATTTCTAAATTATGAAAAGTGTTTGCAGAATTTTTTTTTTTTTTTTACATTTTGATAAAAGATGATTGAATAATTTTCGAATGAAATTCATGACGTTAATGTGCTCATGTAGTAATAATAAAAGATTGTCGATTTCGCATCGGTTCCACATCAGTGTTACGAATGTATTTTACTTCCGGATTAAGAAAAAAATACCGCAGAGGTTTGTTGGAATCAGTATTTGATTCAAACTTTTCAAATATGTTAACTTTTTGAGGGTAAATTTTTTTTTTTTTTTTTTGGGGAATTTGCAATATATGAAGTTACATTGAATGAATTTAATAAATTATCTTTTTTTTTTTTTTTGGTGATTGGTAAATATTAAATACTAATTGTAGATCAGTAAGTCATCAAGTAATTGATGAAGAAGTGTGTGAGTTCTTTTCATGTTGACACATGTATATACGAAATGAAATTGATCACTTAATACGGGCATGTGAATATTTTGGAAATATATAATGTCATAGAAAAATTTCTCGGTAATTAATTTCTAACTTTAAATTTCAGTTACCCTTCATATGATAATTAATCATACTATTATGACGAAACATAAAAAAAAAATGTTGGAATAATAAAGGTTAAATGTTATGAATGGAGGAAAATGGGGTTGTAGAGAACAACACTCAAAATTTTAATCCGATATAGAAATATAAAAAAATATGACCTATAAATTTTTTCCATTTTTCAATGAGTCATTAAAAGTGCAATTATAGTAAATATATGATATCAATGATATTAAAAAGTGATAATAATAATTATGGGAGTGCAAGAGATGAAAAAAAAAAAAAAACAATTCCTTAGTGATGTATTTATTTTTCCTTTATATTCTTACCATTGTATTATTACAATTTTCATTATTACAATTTCTTCATTCTTAATTTTGCTATACATTTATCATTTCATTAATTAATGATTGCACTGTCATGGCACAAACGTTTCTCATTTCTTACCCTTCACCACTCACTTCACTAACGTTTTTCTTCACCAATCGCTTTTTCCATCGTTATTTTTAATTTTTTTTTTCCAGTTTAACTTTTCTTCGATTAGTATTTAATGTCATATTTATAGGCTCATTTTTATCAGAGTAATCCATTTGTTATGCTATAATATCCTCTTACTAATTTCATTACCATCATTTTTTTTTAAGTTGTTGTCATTTTTTAGCCAATTTTTTTGCATCGTCATAATTTTAAGCATTTGTAATGTGATAGGAAATAGCATGTAATACATTCCAAATGTCATATTAATATCATATATATTCGATTTCTCGTCGTAATCTCTTTTGTATTGCAAATTCTTGATAGTATCATATTGCTATCATGGAAAACATTATCATCCAAAGCTAAATGCTTATAAAGGACGCTTTTTTTTTGAAATGTACATTATTGAAATTTTACCTTAAAATTCTGTTTAAGAAACAAGTGAAAGTTTGTTTTTTTTTTTTTCTTAAAATACAATTCATTCAAATTTGACGTTTTTCGCTTTTTTTTTCTTTTTTTTTTTGTCAATTTATATAGCCATTATTACTGGTTGATGTTCAAATTTTATTATATTTCAATTTAATATCACTGAAATAAATTTCATTCATACTTTGAAAATTTCATAAAATGAAAATAAAGTAAGGTTAGATGTATTGCCGTTTTCTCTGAATAAGATTAATCTTTTCAGCTTTAAAATATTTTTATATAATGAAAATGTTATCAATTATTTTTGATATGAAAGTGTAGTTTTACCTTTCTTCGTAAAATGTGAAAAAAAAATTGCAAACCGTTGAAAAAAATAACACACGATAATGCTAATTCGTATTTTTTACAATCATTGTTAGAGTTATTTGATCTCTCAATTTCAAAAATTCTTGAATTTCTCAATTTTCTAACAAAATAGATCGAGAAGTTGTTTTACGTTTTGATATAGAGATTCGAATTGCAAACTTACAATATCCATTCTTGTTTTCTTTCAGAAAGGAACATTCAAATTATGCATTATTGTGAAGACTTGCGCTAACCAGGATATCGTTCATTGAATAAAATGACATCAAAATCATCGTCTCAAGAACCGATCCATAGTGGTCATTTTATGACTTCGAATCCGCATAGTGACGAATTGTTACCTGATGAAGAGGTTGTTGGGGTTCGTTGTTCTTTTTTTTTTATAGTGATGTAAAAGATATTAAATTCTAGTGATATTAGTTCAATCATCTGAATGTAAATAATGATTAGGAATAAAAATTGATCACGGAAATAAACATAATCGATGTAGAAATCACATTTGGAAGGAGGTGGAATGTGTGATTTCTGTTAATTATAATTAATATAATTGCTCCGTGTTATTTTCACTTTATCAAAATTTAGTTGAACATGAGGCAGATTAATGATTGATACTTATATTGGGATTAGCTGTATTTGATATTATCACCTGTTCACTGTCATATTAGATAGGTGACTGATTAAAAAGCTATTGCGGTAATTATTTTCTTTCATTTAGATATCTTTTTATCTGCATCTGTAAGGTGCATATGTTCTTTAGTTTTATCAAGCCTTTTTTTATTAAATATCGTTAAGTATAGCTTAAAATTTCTTTGAAACTTTTCAAAAGAATTTTATTAATATTCTGTCCTCAAAAAAAAAAACAAATTTTTAAATACAGCAAAGAAAAGAATAAACAGATTACGAATGCATGATATAAACTTTTGATTAAGTTCATTTGATTAAGCTGTGCAATTACTGTATGAATAGTTAGGGACTGCATTAATTTATATGATATTAGGAAAGTTCGGAAATTTTGCTGATATTTTTCTGTTATTTTGTATGATTTAAAATTTCTACCACAACGCAAATGATGGCAAGCAAAAAATACGGATTATATTCTGTTAAAAATTAACTTCTATTCTTTCCAGGTTGTTGTTGAGGATGATGTTGAGCATATGCAAAACGATGAGCAAAAAGTTCAAGATTTACGCGATTTGAATGTTCAGGCAAGTTTTCTTATGCTTATATCATGTTTACATAATGAATTTTGCGAAGATTTTTGTGATGTTTTAAAACAAACAATTTAATTTCGGTGGATATATTACTATCGAAACTGAGGAGAGGAGAATTCTTAATGGTTTCTATAGTATTACCTTGGAAATTGTTGCAGAGGAAATGTTTTCTCATTAGCTTTTTTTTTAATATCAGAATTGAAATAAAAGTTTCGGTCACCATTGCTTGAAGCAAATAAAATAATTTGTTTTACTGTTGTTATGAGATGTTATTTGCTATTTATATTTGATGCTTGTGGCTTGTTTCTTGAAACACTCTGCGCTTTGTAAGTTAGAATAAATAGTTGAACAGCTGACATTATGATTTTTTGGTAGATTAAAATACTCCTCTTCCTGATATTTCATTCTACAATGTATTTCCTTAGTTTTTCTTTTTTCGTTTTTCATATTCATGTTAACGAGTAGGATATTTCGAGTAACCTTTAAAAATCTTTAAGAAAAAGCGATACTTTAGTTCACGTTAATTAATAGAAGAGAAAATAATTTTTTTTAAAGGCGTATTTGGAGTTTTCCATTCTCATATGATGTAAATTTTTTTAAATTAAATTTTCAGAAAACTCAAAATTATGTAGATCATACGATGTGTATTTTAACTTAGTTTCAAAAATAGCGATCAATAATTTTTATCATTTTCGTGATTTATACGATTTATTGAGCTGTTTTATTTTTTTGAAAAACAAAGATCATTTTATTCATTTCAGGATGAAAAGCCAGTTACTTTTTACAAATTCGGTCCAAAAAGGACGCAGTCAATAGCGATCGATGTATCTTTGAATAAATTGAACAAATGCATCAAAGTGGCTTATAAGTTAGCTCTTTTTCTTTTTAATGCACCATTTTTTTTTTCTTTTTTTGAAATATGTTTAACTTAAATATTTAAAAAGTTGGGTTTTTTTAAATTATAATAAATATTGTATCTCTATCATTTTGATATGTCTTATGATTGGTTTTCGTATTTATATGGTAAATTTTTTTAGCAATTTTCGGAAGTGGTTGATGTACTGTAGATGTATTGTGAGCAATTTGTTTATGATTATAGCAAGGATATAAGTATTCGTCTAATAAGCGGTTATTATATGCATTAAATCTAGGTGAACAACTACTGGAAGTTTCAAAGTGAAATATTTAAAAAATTCTATCATTTAGAGCTGAGAGAATTCTTAACCAAAAGAGCTAATCTAGATCATAAAAGAGCTGTCTAAGCTAAATCAGTATTGATATCAGTACTTATTAATCTTTGCATCAGGTCACTAATTATTAATTATTAGTCCTTTAACCTATTCAATAGCTTTCAACCAATCAGTGTATCAGTGTCACAGGAAAAAGATATTGCTTTGTTGCACAAATTCATAATGATTTAGGAAGTATTAGCCAAGAATATTTTATCTAAAATAAGCCTTACTTTTGTTGCTGTGAAAAATCTTGCTCCAATATCATCTTTTCCTTTGAGTCTTCGCTCCTATATTATCATTTTCCATTCTTTGAGAATAGAACTTAGTTACAGGGATATTTTATCCATCCTTTGTTTTTATTTTTACCCACAAATATATTTTACAAAAATTTTGCAAGTCAGTTAATTCTTTTACACGTAAATATGATGAATTGCCTTCCAAATGATTCATTTTAAAGTATTCTTAGGAATATCATGTTTCTTGCATCCTCCAGGAGAATAGATCTGTATTTTTAAACTTTCAATTGATGAGGAAAAGAAGAAAGAAGGATGGAAGAGATGATAATTAAAATTAATTAATTCTTCTCATATTGTCTTACTTTATTGTTCGAAAATATGATTGTGTCTATGATATAAGCTATGTAAAAGCTTCTCGTAAAAAATGTTTGTCATCAATAGCTTCAATGAAATTGAGAGTAAAGTGTATGTGATCAGATGTTTCTAGAACTGATGTGAATTTTAAACAGAACAATTCTACAAACAAGTTTTTCAAAACTTTTTTACGAAATGATATCATAATAGATTTGAGGTTGTTTCGCTATACAATGATGACATAATTGTAAAAATATAATATTATACGAAGTGGTCGATTAATTTTGCATGATTTGGTTACAGTAAAATGACCACACCGAAATGGAAAGATTTCAAAGGATTACGATTACATTGGAAACAACGAATACGTTTAAATAATGTTATCTGGAGAGCTTACTATATGGAATGTATGTCTATCATCTATTATTATCAATTAATATCTCATTAGATGTTTCGAACTAAGCTATAGATGTAATTTATTCATTTTTTTTGAAACGGCAATGTAGCTGTAAAAAAGGAGAGAGCTCATAGTATATTTCACTATGTTATGATTTATTTGTGAAGAAAATGAAAAGTTTATTTTTATACTCATACAAACCAGATTGATTGCGATTAAAGTGGAGGAATGGTGCATAAAAACTTTTCTTAAATATTACTGTGCCATCTTAAATGTTTGGAATTACAATTTAAAATGCTTCATTCAATCGATGATAGTGAATAAGTGAAAATTTAAGGCTATAAAATGATATGTTGCAGTGTAATAATTTTTTTTAATGCTTATGCTAGTCATACCCTGAAGTGTTTCTTTCTTCATTAAATTTCTCTTGCAGTTCGACGACCCGATAAAGATAAATCAAAGAGAACGCCATATTGTTATTTCACTGTACCAGACGATGATATTACACATGTTAAAATCACGGTAAATTTTGGTATTTATTAATTTCAATATTTATTTGATTTCCTTTAGGTAGCAATGAATCTGTGGATGGTGAAACATCAAGATTAAACTTATCGTTGGCGCTGATATCTTAATAAAAGTTTATTTGATTGCATTTTAAAGGATCGAGAAAAGTTTTGCATTCGTTATTGTTTGCTTAAATTCTAGTTCATCAACAATATTAGGGTACTATTGTGGAAGGAATGTACTGGAAGAGAAGTATGGATGCATTGAAAGCTCAATATAAACGATGGCGTCATTTGAAAACGCGAAAAAGAGGACGACGCAGGGTATTTGTTTACACAGTTTTTGCGTTGACGTGCATTTTTATGCTTTCTGTTTTTGAATTTCAGATGAACACATGATATCCAACATTGTGCATTAATCATTATCAAATGAACGATTAAATAACACGTTTAAGACATCAAAAATTGATTGAACATAAAAAATTTAAGACATCAAAAATTGATTGAACATAAAAAATTGTTAAGAACAATAACAGTGAGATAAAAAGAAATAAGGAAAAAGGAATGAATGAAATATCTGAAATTGATAAGTAAAATAAATTTAGGGTGTCAGTTGGAATCAAGAGATCAGTTTCGTCCCACAATTAGCTGTAGAAAATCCGATGCCGAAAAACTCGTCTGCTGAGCACCAAGATGCGGATGATTTAGATAATGAATTCACTGATACACTTTTTGCCAGTCTTATGCAGCCGTATACATTTCCAAATCCAAAAGAAATAAGTAATTTTTGAAGTCTTGTCAAATTTCGACTACTTTTTTTTTGCTGATGTTCTTTGATCCTTTTTTTTTAAACTGTGGTTGTTTGTTCCTGCTTAATGTGCTTTCGATTGCTGGAGATGCAAAAAGGGGAGGAAGGAGAGTTTGCATTTTTTTAATAGAAATTCTAAATTTCGTGCTGAAATATGAAGTGACTTTAACTTTTTTAATTGTTCTTTTAGAAAAGTTAGTCAGCACTCTTTTACTTTGTACTTTCATAATATTAATTGGTGAAAATGACCTATTTCGTTGATAAGATTCTCTCATTAGAACAAAAAATAATTAATTTATCTGATGTCATGCTTTTTTAATTATCATTTAGCACAAGGATGTAATGCTGATGTGATGCAACCTGGGCTGTTATCATTACAGCCAAGCATCGAAGAAATAATGGCATCTCTTGGTTAGCCAAGTTTTTTTCTTTTTATTTTCAATATAATTCTTAATTTAATCTTTTACAGTCATCCAAGAGAAACATTGGCAATACAGTTATAGAGCTGGGAAAAAGTGGCATGTTCTAGATCATGTAACGCCGTTATAATTATAATACCGTCATTGTAATTTGTATATATTTTACAGTTATGAAATAGTGGCGACAAAAGTAATAATGCAGATGAAGGAGCTGGTCGAGGATTAGCATACTGATTAAACTAGATAGTTAAATTGGAAGTATTATAGGATTACTAGGCCATCGTGGTCATGAAGATGATTATGAAGTATTGTGATCAGGTTTTAACTATATGAATGAAGGAGCAAATATTTTCATTTTATAGTGAATTTTCGAAAAACATAACATTTGAGTTAAAGGACATCGTATAATAATAATAGTAGAAATGGAAGGCATTTTTAGAAAGAGATATTTCGTTTAATTTGAATAGATATTCCAAAATGATAGGAATATAAATTCTTTACATTTTTTATTTTCCAAATTTTGATTCAATTTTCTTGCAGATCCACCAGAGCAATTGCTTAATGAAATTGGAAACTATAACGCCTCAAACGTTTCCGCTACTTCACCATGTACACCAAAAGAATATGAAACAACTTTCAGTACCCTTGCGAATCCGATCCAACAACCAACAAGACAGTCATCCAGTATATCGCCACAAATTCTTCTTGCTAATTCACCTGCACCAACATATTCACAGGTATTTTCGTAGCAAAAAAGAATCGAATGTTATACATAGAATTTATTTTACCTTAAATAGCTTAGTCAAGATATAAAGAAAAGAAGGCCGAGAATGGGAGGAGGGAGTCAAAATATGCTCTTAATGCGAAATTCAGTTCAAATTTAATGTTTAATTTTATAGGCAGCATATGAGAATACACCTTTGATTGCTACAATGCCTTATACAGCTGATTCATCTAGTTTGGATTATGTACCGCAATTCCTTACAACCAGTATGCAATTTCCTTCATCAGTTCTACCGAATAGGACGTGGTGGATAAATTTCCCATCTACTCCTACTCCATCCTTGCTCAGTAATCCTTCAACTCCATCCGTTGTACACAGTCCATCCAGTTCGAGTATTGCTGTGATATCGTCTCTGTCGGTCAGCAGCCCGATAACTGTTTCGCCATTGTCGACCGTTGAAACACATCTCATCAATATTTCATGTAAAGATCCTTTAAAGGTTTTTCCTGCTTCAACTGATACTTTAAAGTTCCAAACCGAAAGGTGGAGTGTTGCGGGGCCAAGTTCTTTATCACCGCGTGGGATTACTACTGACTCGATGGAACATGGAGTTTGGAAGGTTAAATTTTTTCATTAATTTTGCAATTTTTTTTTTGTGCTGAAATTTTGAGACAAAATTAACATCTTAGGAAGAAGTTTTAGCTCTTTCTTTCCTTCCCTTATTAAATTAAAATAGTATTTTTTACTTTTCAATGAAAAGTAAACGCGTAAGTTAGCTGCTGACTGAATAAACGTCAGTAATTTTATTTTTCAATTTGAATAATGAAGCTGAGCTTTCAGCAGTTATCACCAAACACAAATGCCAGCTCAAATTTACTTCTGGCGCCACAGCCTCTTTATCCTCAAGAAGAGAGTCAAATATTGCCAAAAGTGAATGCAGCATCGTCACATGAACGAAGTACTATTCTCGCTTCTGGTACAACATCGATTAAACAGGAACATGAGAAGGATGAACGAGTCCATCGTGCTCCAAAGTACGGTACATTTTTTTTTTAACTTATTAACAAGTATGATTAGAAATAAATTAACAAGAGAATATGCTGATTTTTTTTTTTAATGCGTTCTTGTGGTTTGCTTTATATTTTGAAAAATTGATATGTGAAAAAAAAGTTTTAACCGTCACAGCGAGAATAAGGTAAGTGTTGATGGAGCAATCATTTTAAAAAATGGGAAATACATGAGGTGACCAGTAAATTTGGGAATAAATTAATGAATCTAAAATTAAATTATTCAAAAGTAAGGAATGTTTCAACTATTAGATTTACGTTTGTTCATGTACATGTGTATTTGCGTAAAGAGATGAAGAAAAAATTTGAATTTATGGCACAACATAAGTAACATAACTAAAATTGGACGAGTATACAGTAGAAGAGAGCAGCTAAAACTTATATTATTGGAAAGTGAATATCTACTGCACAATAAAACATATTATTAATTTTGTTTAGAAAGTCTTTTAAAATTTCTAAGTGTATGTTAGAAATTTTTTGTTAAGGCGTGGCTGTAGGAGCGTGGCAGCGGATAGTACGATTGAACCAGTGGAAAGGAAGCGTATTCTGCATTTAAATGCTGAACAGAATAGGTTGAATTTTTATTTCATAAGCATGTGATGTGTGAATCAACGTAATTTCATAATGATAGTTCTTATGACTCGGAATTTTTCAGTCTTAATGAGTTTTGTATTTCAGTTGAGAATAACAGTTCACATACTATTTACGTAATTGTTACGCTTAAATAGTTAAGATCTGAGTTCGCTTCGACAGATATATTCAGCCATAAATTTTTCATTGAGAGTTTACGCCTATTACTTTGAAACATTATTCCCAAAAATACAAATCCTATTTTTCTGGTTTTAGACGTTGTGCTTTGAAAGATGGGTTTGAACAGTTGTTAAATTCTTTGCCAAATTTATACGGCTGTGGTACAAAGCCAACAAATGCTGTTGTTCTAACACGTGCAGCTGAACGTATACGACAATTGAAAGCTGAAATTGCTCTTGATGAAGAAAAAGCAAGACAACTGGAACAAAACATACAGCGATTAAATGACAAAATTGCGTTAGTATTTATTTAAATTAAAATTTAAATTTTGGGCACAAAGTTTTCTTCAGAATACAACTTATGGCAGGTTTAATTTAAAGCAGGTTATGTCTACGTGTAATAATTTTACTTCACTTATATATATATTAAGCTGCGCTAAACGACTGTTTAAAATAACTTCACTGCGTGTCTTTTCATTCATTTGTTGTATATATATAAATGCATGAAGCCGCAGACAAAAGCCATGAAATTATAACATCTCTAGCTTTGAAGTATAAAAATATGAGTCGGTTCTAAAAGCAGTAGAAATTTCTATCCAGTACCAGTTCAAATTTACTTTTGCTTTACAGATCACTCCAAGCTTCTTTACCGTCTTCATCGCGAACGACTACAAATACAATTAGTCAGAAAGCTGAAATGGAACAGTTTCTGGATCGGTATACGAAAGAAAGAACGCGTCAGGATTATCGTTTTTGGATTGTAAGTTTTGCAAGTATTTTGCGCATAATTCTTATGTTTGGTGGTTTTTGTAGGTAAATTCAGTTTGAAGTGAAAATTGTAAAAATTTTTATGAATTCCGCAATGGTATTATGCTAAGATGTTGGAATATAACGTTTTTTTTTTTGTTTTTTTTTCTGGTTGAAACTAGTTATTTAAGCCGGCGTTACATTCAATTATTAATTTCTATATCGCCGGGAAATCTCAAAGTAAGAAAAGATGACAGATGCATGTAGAGTAAAGATTATTTGTTGAAGATGACAATTCTCGGCAAATCTTAATAAATTAGCTTATGAGATTTTGTTAATATCATTAACGTCTTTTTTTAATAAATGTAAATTTTTTAGATGGCCAAAATGATACAACCATTGATGGAGGCATTGATCGAAAGACTTAGTCAACTGCCATCCGATAGAGCTGTAGCGGAAACGAGTGATTGGTTACAGACAAATTTTCAACCATCCACTGTAAGACCAAATGCCTCGTCAATGTTAGTACATTTGGCAACACAAGCCGATATGTTGAACAATCCGAATGCACTTCAAGAATATATTCAAAGAGAATTGTCGCAGTAATAAATGTAATGCATCCAGTGACCTCTTCATTTGTATGATTAGCAAGAATTAATAACCTAATTGATATTATAGTAGATTAGAGTTCTCAGTAATATTGACTTGTGCGATAAAAGGTTATCCTAAATTTATTAGATAGTAATTGAACAGTACAACTAAGTTGAGCTGATATATTAATGTAATTATATCAACTGATGAAGATTAACGATGGAGAAATGATTTTCAATAGTAGAATGGTGAGGAGTGCACAAATCCTTAGAAATTTCTTTACACCGAAACTTTGATATTTTATGAAAAGTGATGATGGAAGCAAAAAATTGCAAGAGGGAGCAGTTTAATTAAAAATTGAATAATTTCTGATTCTATTTTGAACATCTTCAAGATTCCAAAAAAGTTACGTGTCACTCTTAGTCGTTTTTCTTGCTGAATTACTTTTCTTTTTCATTTTAGTCGATTTGATTATTTGTTTGTTTCATTTTCATTAACATATTGTTGCTGTCAACATTGTCAGGTTGCGAATGTTTTTCATTTTAAAATCCTGCGGTTTGACCGATGTTATTGAGTCTTAGGCAAGTCAAGCTTAAAAATGACAAGGTAACAGGTTTTGGTCCAAGCAGTGAATTCGATTTGATTTCTTTAGAGAGGAGATTAATAAGTTTATTTCTATTAAACTTTGCATAAGGTTCAACATCATTAGAATTCTGGAACGTTAAATCGCCGAATTTTTTTGATTAAATCAATAATTCTGAATCCGTGACCAGTAGGTGTTCTTGAGTGCTAACATGTGTTGCCTTAAACATTAAATATGAGAATTTGTAAGGAAAAATTAATTTTTGTGCTCATTATGTGTTGCCTGTTTTGCGCTTTTTTCTTCTGTTTGAAAATTGTTACGGGTTTTCTTGTTTGAAAATGTTTTGTCTTTTCTGGAAATGATTCTAAATGTTTGGAGTAGCTCAATTGTTTCTTTATTTTCATAATTATTGTTCAAATTTTTAAAAATATATTCCGCTATACCTCATCAATGCAAACAATCATTTTTGATTCATACTAAAGTATTTTTGC